AATTTTTGAATTGAATAAAAAAAATAAAATATAAATATTGCGGCCCAAAAATGCCTGGACAAGCCGCGATCTGCGCACCTAATCCAACTCACCGAGCTCGTCTCCCGAAGCAAAGGAGTGCATTTGTTCCATCCTTCTCTTTCGTCCTTTCAGCTCACATTAGCTCATATTGGATACTCTCCTCGTGCTCACCTTCATCGCAAAAAGCAAAAGTCTCAGAACAGAGAGAGAAAGAGAGAGAGAGAGAGAGAGAGAGGTGGGTGGGGTTGTGAATGGGGGAGAACGGCAGGGGTCCGGCAATGGCGCCGCTGAATGTGGAGAGGGGGGATCAGGAGAGATGGAGACACTTCGACAGTTCGGTGAACGCCGTTTCGTTCGGCTTCGTTGCGACCGCCATTCTCATATCCATGTTTATTATAATGGCCATTTTCGAGCGCTTCCTCCGCCCCCAATCATCGCTTTTCGCCTCCTTCACCGACGGTCGCGGTGGCGGCGGCGATGGGTTGAGTGGAACCGCGGATCTCGAGGCCCAGAACCGGGCTACCATCGGTAAGCTCGAGTTCCCCTCTCCCAAGGTAAAAAGAAACCAATTCTCAGTCATCTTCCTTTATCAGTTTCTGCTCAGTGCTTCATTTCTTCCATTTAAAACAAAATGGCGATGATTTATCTCGCATAACTGCTCCTCCTGCATCAAATCGAATCCTAGTTTTGAGTTTTTGATGGAGTAGCAGCTTTATTGTTTTGAATTTCCGATCTGTGTCATTCCATTTATATATTCATAATTTCACGGACCTCGAAACCAAAGACCCTGCTGACCGATGCTTTTCAGATTTGTATTCTCATTACGGAAGTCGGGAATACGTGCAATTGTTTGCAGAAGATCTCGAAGCTGCAGCTGGACATGTTTGTACCAAGTCCTCATTGTGTGATCTTAGTAAATGGTTAAGAATTGACTAGGTCTAAGTTATTTATTCCCGTTTTTAGTATTTCACTGGATGCCTTTCCACTATTCTGTTCCTTTTTCTTTCTGTTTTCTATCATAATGACACAAATGCCCCTTAAAATCTTGCTAGAACATGTGATCGTCTTTATTAATGTCATTTTAGCAGTACTGGATCACCTTCATCTCGTCCATGTTCTCTCTAAGTTTCAGCTACCGTTACCTAAGGGAAAAAGCAGACCTTTTTGATCTTAGACAAGCGAACTCTTCTTAAAAAGGTTTGGAAAGTAAAAAAAAGTTGAATTGAGTTCGCATCACTGACATTTAGTGTTGATAGTTATGGCCTAGCGAAGTATACATCATGCCGTTGGATGTAGCCCTTCGTCAGAGACAGGTGGGGGATCTAGGATATAAATTATGTTGGAAGTCTGAGCGGGTGATAGGCAGAACATGAAGATGTGACATGACTCCGAACTTTCATCTTTGCCTGTTTGTCTCTTTAGGCTTCACTGTGCTGTTTTCGTGTGAGTGTTTGCTACCGAATATTTTTGAAACAGTGTTGACCGTTTGTATCTTGTGCTTGGAGCCTAGAATAAAACTCAAGGAATCAAAGGGTTGATGGTTCTGTTGAGTTGATCATCTTATGTCAATCAATAAATCTGTTACATGGCTAAAAAGAAAAAGAAGCTCTGCGAAGAATTCAAATTTAATGATCTTTGGTTGTTATCTCCTTGTTTGGCCCCTACAAAGAGGGAACTGTGATAATAATCTGTATTTTGACACAGTACACATGTTGTGATCCAATTTTTTGTTAAATTTTTTTTTTTGTCACATGGATTCAATTTGTACTTATTAATTTGTGTACTCTTGTTATGATTTGGCCTGCAATCTTGAGTTACCAAGATGGTTACATACTATTAAACGGTAGAGAAATATTATAACAATTAAAGCAATCAATTATATCTTCAAAACAGTTAAGAGTCACCCATATTGATATTTTAAGGCAATTTCAACTCACGCATAAATCAAGTGTGATACAACAATTTTAGTAAAGATTTTTAAAATAAGATACAATTATTGGTTATGGGTCTAGATATGTTCAGCTGCTTGAAGTTTGATGCATAGACTAGATATTGCACATCCAGTGAGAATATTCAGTAGTTACATGGGCAATCCTGACAAACATCATTAGGAGGCGGTAAAGTGGACTTTCAGGTACTTGAGTGAAACTATCAATATTGAACTTTATTTCAGAAGTGTTGAGATTGATCTAGAGGAATATATCGATTCAGAACCGACCGGTGATATAATAGCAGAAGAAGTACAATAGGGTATATCTTTACATTAGGGAACATGCCAGTGGATTGAGTTTCCAGGCTGTAGAAGATTGTTGCATTTTCAACTAAGAATGTCAAATACATTGTTTTCACTGAGGTTAACAAAGTGTTGATTTATCTGTAGAGTTTTATGGCAGAGCTAAGCTTGGAGCAAGAGATTGAAAAGCTTTATAGTGACAATATGAGTGTTATTCATTTATGTAAGAATGTCGTTTTTCATGCCAGGGTATCATATTAAAGTTAGGGCATTATTTTATTTGTTTTCTTTTAGAAGATGGGCAGTTATTCTTGGAGAAGATACATACAACTTAGTATCAGTCAAATATTTTGACTGAGGTGGTGAATGTTGAGAAACTGAAGCTTTGCTTGGCTTCAGTTGGTCCTCAGAAAGGTTGAGATTAGAGGTCAGACTACATTACAAGACCGAAAATGGTGCAGTTATGGAGGTGCAGAGGAGAGGAATTTGGTGCAATCAGTCTCCAAGTGGAGATTGTAAGTTGTGGAGCCTAATACAACAACCATGCAACATTCCAGTGCTTTTTGCAAGCTTTCGGCTCCCAAAGGGGGGTGCCCCAGCTCACATGCCAATGGGACCTAGCACTCCGATGTCAATAGGGACACGTAAGTGATCAATGCACAGAGCTCTGACAGTTCTTGTGCTCATTCATGGCGCATATGCGTTGCTGTTTTGTTTGTTTGAGGTTCAGAAGCAGTGTGATTAGAGTTTTTGCACCCAAGAGGGGCGCGGCAACACCGCCATCATGCTTTCAAGACAGAGCAAGTGGAAATGTAGTGCTTGAGATTGTTGATCCGATGCTAGGAGCGATTTTCTCTTCTGATTCAATTTTAAGCCATCGTTTCATTAAAAAACTTACTTATGTATTCTCTCAACGGTACTTAAAAAGTATGAGTTGTGTGAAGAGTCGATGGGTGGATTTCGACCGCTTTCTCTTGTGCGATCAAGAGATGAAGGAGCATCCAAATTGTTGTAAGTTCCAAGAGAATAGATAGGGAATCTGAGCGTGGTGTAATCTATACATTTCTCTTGATCTTCATGTTGGAATTTTTGGTTTTGTGTGGGCTCGTGATTTTTTTCGGTTCTCGGGTTTTTCTATGTTAAATTGTATGTGTTTATCTATATTTTTTGTTTATGCCCTTCCGTGCATTGCTTTGTTATGTATCTTTCGAATCGATGTCTTTCTATGGTGTGATTTGATTTTTTCAAAATCAAATGTGTTTACGTCCCCAACGCATAGTACATCATTTTTCATTTATTTATTTATTTATTTATTTTTTCATTTAATGCTAATGATTATAGGACCACCCCCAACTAGTATCACAAGGGGTTAACTCCTTTGTTGGGCTTACACATTCATTTAATTTGAATAATGGTTATAGGACCACCTGATGATCTGATTAGAAGAGTAGATGTTTTAGATTCAACATATGTTAAGAAAGGTAGAGGTAGAACTAAGAAGACTTGGGCGTATTGTATAAAAAAGGATCTTAATTTACTAGAATTAAATGAAAATGTGACACTAAATAGGACGCAATGGAGAAAATGGATTCATGTAGCTGACGCCACTTAGTGGGATTAAGGCTTTCTTGTTGTTGGTTATAGGACCACCCTCCGACTAGTACCATAAGGGGTTAACTCCTTTGTTGAGCTTACACGTCATTTAATTTGAATAAATTTTTCATTCATAGTAGATAATGTGCATAATTTAAATTCATCAAAGTATGATCTTAAAATGTATTTATCTTAAATTCGTTGCATCATGTGCGAGTTTCAACACTAGAAGAATAATTGCCCATTTTGCTTGCTCATAAAATAAATTATAACATTTTAAAAATTTTCATAAGACATGTTATTTTTATCTACTCAAGCACAAAAAAAGAACCGTAAATTAACATAAGATAAAAAATTTAATTATCCAGCTTAGTTTCTCATGTGAAGTTGACCTTTTATTGTCCTTTAAACTTGTTTCTCTTATTTCGATCTTGATTCAATCTACAATCAAATATTGTGATAAATATGTAATTGCAGTTAAATATTTAAATAATTTTAGTATGCATTTGTGGTTTAATTCATTCAGCTATTGTCTTAAAAATTATTTTAGAATCATAATTATACACTATCTTTATT